TTTGCATTTGCAATCCTTCAATTCTTTGCATTTGCAATATTGGTATTGTCTGCTGTATATACAGTATGTAGTCCTAGAGTTAAAATGTTAATTTAACTCTGTTAATTTAACTAATGTTAATTTAAAGAGATTCCCTGGTTTTTAAATTCTCCTACACATCTCCATGCCTTCCAGGATAAATTTGATTATTAGCCGGGGTGTACCTTAGTGTTGCCCTGTATTTAATATGACTTGTGCTGTCTTACTGTCGGGCTGTGTCAGCATCATGCCTTGGCAATCATTTTCAAATAGATATGTTTGAAACCTTGTTATATACAGTAATAAAGTGAATACATTAAATGTGATAATTGGACCCCTGCTGCAACAGACAGCAGCATGTAGTCCATTCCTGCTTTTTTTAAGTGGCAGCGTGTATTAGACACATTAAGAACACAAGAGAGGCTACAATCTGAAAGGAGGCCGTTTTGCAGGTCCAGTCGTTTCTTGAGGGAAGACAAAGCAGCATCTTCAGGCACATGGCTGGATAGCTTGTGCCACACTCCCACAGACCCTTGTGTAAGAGGTGTTCTCAGCTCAGCACCGCTGGGGGTGTGCGCACACTGGCTGAAGCCCACAGCAGGGGACGGTTTCACAGCCTGCTGCTTCAGCTCGAGAAAGCAGTGCAGCACAGAGGCGTCCCATAACTTCAGAATGACTTTCGTTGCTATTATTGCTTTTGGCACTCCATTGTTTTCATCAAAGTATTACATTATTTCACGTTACCTAGTTTAAATTTAAAATGTTTCTGAAAAGCACTGACTCTGGTATATGTGTCATGCTGTGCTTATTATCCTCATTATTTTTGTTGCCATCAGCTTCTTAATTATTTAAGAGGAGTTTAATTACCAAGAGATGGGAAAACATTCTCTGAATGAAGAAGAGGTTAGGAACTCTTGAGTGGGTTTGGTCAAAGTGTTTTTTACTGGAGAGTCTGTTGCTGGTAGCAGATCTCTTTAATCCTCAGATGTCCCTAACCCAAACTCAGATGTCCAGGTTCACTATAGCGCAGAAGAGTGAGACTGGGACTGAGACTGAAAAGGATTCTAATTGTGAATGCCACTGTCAACCGCATCAGTGGCCGAAAGTGTTGTCTTGTAACATACAGAAGAGTATGTTTTGTGCAAACATGTATGTATTTTGGAACCCATGACAGGAGTCATTGTTTTATTTTGTGATTAGGGGTTATATTACTTTGTTATACCTACAGGAGCGAAATCTCATACTCTATACATACTGGCTTGTAGAGGCCACAAGTTTGTAATAATGATGCTACCCCTTATTTTATGCTTGTGCTTTCTTAAAGTTATTTAATGCAGTGTGTCTATAATACATCCATTTATACACTGTAATTTCTTAAGTGATGTTTCATATTGGATATTCTATATAAATCTCCAAACATGGTTAAAATATGCTTACATTTTCAGAAGGGAGAACATCCCAAAATCTATACTAAAAATACATATACCCTTTATCTGAATACAACACTTATACTCTTCCACTTTACGTACTGTATATATATATTGTCTGTATGGTTCACTTTACTGTTTAATGTATTAAAGTGTTCACAGTAATTTGAAATGCACTCAGTTGTCGTCTTCATCCTCTCTCCTCCTCTTCAGTCACAGAGAAGATCACAAGTGTCCACATGAATGATCATGGCTGCTTTTGTCATTCTGCTGAATTTCTGAAAACTAACATGTGGTATCTTCACGATATCCTAGTGTCTCCATGTAACAACACAATAAGAATCCTATCGGTTCACTTATTACCTGAAAAATAGGAAGAATTATAAAGTAATTCCAAGATTCTGGTACTGATCAGAACCTGACTTTGCCAACTGATTAAGTCTATTGTGATGGTTTCATGATCCACAGTAAAACATGAACAACAATAAAGGTTGGAAATTGAGGAGACTGATTTTAGGTTTGAAATGAGGAGGCAATTCTGTATACAAGAAACTGACAGAGGTATGCAAAAACTGCTTGACTGTGTTTTTTTGCACTTACAAGGAATGGTGTTGACAAGTATTTTGGGTCAGTCCTGTCAAGGTTAGCTGGTGACTTGCTTGTAACATCTGATCTTCTTGTAATTGGGAATAGTTGTGTAACATGTGACCACACTGAACTATCATATCAGATGCAGACAGAATGCTATGTCTGTTGTAGCTGCAGCTTCTGTAAATCTGATATTATTGTTCCTCTGTCTTACAGCAAGGCTGAGATGAAATGAAGTATGAGACGTCAAGAGTGAACCCATGCCCTTGTTTTGTTGTAAACTTGTCTTTGAAGGCTGATGGCTGTGGGCATACCTCGTAAAGGCCTGTTAAATTGTTCTGTATGTCCCCACCAAGTTCCATGTGCAGTTTTACACAGCTAGAGGGAGGACAACTGATTGGTGCACACGCACACTGATTTAGAGTGGAGCATGAGGGCCAGATGCTTCCTGTCACTGGGGAGTCAAGAAAGCAATAAAGCCAGCTGTCTTTGAGCTTTAAAAAAGACAAGCCATCTTTACCATTCCCAATCTGAGTTAGACTAGATGCTTTAAGGTGGATAGCTCACTGCTCTGATATTAAAAACGTTTGTGAGGTACAGTATCTGTCTTCAGCTGCCACTTTGATCAGCTGCCCCCCAGATGAGCTTCACGATAAGTCATGTTCTTGTTGGCTTGTCTTGTTACATCAGACCCATTATTCTAAACCTATATTACAATTTTCTCTAGTGAACTTCATTTGTTCTCGAAGCTGATACCTTGGCTCCTTCTAAAAAGCTGCAGTTGGACAAGATCATCTCATCAGCTAGGCACTAGTAACCCAATGATCTAGAAGGTCTCTTATTGGTAGCATCCCTACAATCCTTAATATACTTTTAATTAAAAATAAATCCTGATTTAGCTGGCTCTTAATAAATATGTTTGAACACAAGCTGTTTTCTTTTGATGATTTTTGATAAAATGAATTTATAACTACAGTTCTCAGAGTTTATTTTACTACATCATTCTCAAAGAGTGATGACTTTCTATCCCAGTTCTGAGAACTTCTCTTGTTGACCACTGAACAGCAGTGCCACAGGGTACAGTAATGGAGCCCACAAAACAGCCTGCAGTATGTTGACAATGAAATTACAGTAGCTGATTGTTTAAAGAGGTGGCAGCACCAACATCGCCATCCGGCTAAGGATCTGTGCCTGTGGCTGGAAGGTTGCTGGTTCAAATCCTGCAGCCGGCAGAGGAATCCTACTCCGCTGGGCCCCTGAGCAAGGCCCTTAACCCCAACTGCTCCAGTGGCGCCGTATAAATGGCTGACCCTGCGATCTGACCCCCAGCTTCTCTCCCTGTCTGTGTGTCTCGTGGAGAGCAGGCTGGGGTATGCAAAAAGACAAATTCCTAATGCAAGAAATTGTATATGGCCAATACAGTGATCTATGTACAGTATATGTTGTAGAGGCCAGGGATGAAGCAAGTATAGCGGGCAATGAAGCATTCGTCTATGGAGCCCACACAGATGTTGGGCCCACACTTGTACCTACAGCAACTGCGCTCACCAGAGATCTATTGATCTATTGAAAGAAACTATATTTGGGTTGAGAACCAAATCAGCATCTCTTATAAGGCTGGGAATTGGGGGATTCAACACTGCTCGTTTGTGAAGTGTGTTGGAGAGCTGTTAGGCTGTCATCATGGGGAATGACTGTGTATAAGGGTGTGATGTCCATGGTGAAGATAAAAACTGGACCTTGACATTGAATGTTGTCAAACTGTGCAAAGAGCATGGTTAGTAAGACATGTCCCCTGCACTGAAGGGCAGAGAGGCAATAGCTTATCTTTTAAATGTGAAAGGGAGAGCAAGATAGGATATATTGTTTATAATTGGTAGATTTAGAATTCTGATACATTCTGCATCTTCTCAGCATCAGCATTTTGTTTGCTGTGCGTTTTAACAGCTAAATGTATGATTATACTGTCATTCTTCCCATCTTTCTGAGTGAGACAAAAAAGAGATAAATATTAAAGAGTCCCTACAGTTTAGATTGAGTACTCTCCTTATCCTCCTCTACATCAACACTGTAGTGACTGTTGAAATTAATACCAGATGTGCCTTGTCTATGACTCTTTCTTAAAAAAATACTTTACTACAGTAAATGGAAAGGGAATGGGGAAAAGTATCAAATGAGCTTTCTGTGTTTTTTCAGATGGCTGAAAACAATTATTCAGTACCTATTGGTGGGCATAAATGCTGTCATTATAACTCCCTTTCCTCTCAAAATTGAGGTTGTCACTTGCTATTCATGATAAGAAATGTACATACTTATCTACAATGGAAAGTAACTTTGCATTATGCGAGCTGGGAAATCATTAAGAAGCAAAAATGTTTTGGATGTAAATGTACAATGTGTGGCGTAACCACTGCAGAATGAGTCTTTGTTATGTGGCTGTTACTGTAAAGTATATTGTTGTGTTTTACTATTGCTAAGCAGAAGGATACACAGATAACTACTGTATAAGGTTGATATGTCTTTCTGCTTTTATAGACTTGTGTTTAAATTTCCATTAATCAAGTTTCTTATGTTTTTTACACTCTCTGTGCAAAGCGCTTTGGAATCTATTATTCTGAACAAATGTTTACTGCCTACAGTTGTCTGAAGATGCTTCCCAAGCCACATATCGTCAATCCTAATTTAAAACCTTATGCTAAATAAGACATCTTGAGGAGCGTAATCTGTTTGTCTACATTCAAGCAGATGCCTTCATGGCCAGACTTTTGAGTTTCAGATGAATGCTTTTTTTTAAGATCTCACGGGCATTTAAACATTTAGAGCTAAAATAATATGAGATGCTCCCAATTACTGTACATAATAAAAACCAATAAAACCAATAAGCTCTCAGATGCAGCGCAGGATTCAGTCAGGTTGCTCTGTTCCTTTCAGATCAGGTTTCCTGACGTCCTTCTGTTTTTCTTGCAGCTGGGGCGACATACATCTTTGGCAAAGGGGGAGGACTCATAACCTTCACATGGCCTTCGAACGACAGACCCAGCACTCGCACCGACCGCCTGGCGGTGGGCTTCAGCACGTCCCTCAAGGATGGGATCTTGGTCCGAGTGGACAGCGCTCCGGGGCTTGGGGACTTCCTGCAGCTGCACATCGTGAGTCTACAGTATCTTCCCCAATCGGTCTCGGCCAGGCCACAGGAGAGCAGCAATGTGATAAACCAATGTGCAGCAGGTAGTGAGGTTGTGTAGGTAGTAGAAATGCAACAAATGAGTAGTGGAGCCAGCAGCACTTGTTGCGTTTTCTGTGCCTCTGAGCATTTGCATAAAATGTTTGTTTTATTCAGTACATATCCATCGTTCTCTTCCTAATAAGAAAATTCTTCGTGCCTTGAAAAACAGTACGTCTAGATATTTTCACCCAGCCGGCCCAATCTTCCCATGGTTCCAGGGTGAGAAAAGAGTCGCCTTGCGCGAAAGCAGACATCCTTTGAGTCTCCGGGGAAGAATAAAGGGCCAGATAGGATTCTCTCTGGGTGATACAACATGGTGGTGTTTTCTTTTACAGAACACAGGGAGATGGGAGGCAGACGTAAATGTCTGCTTGAGTGGCAGGGCTGCCAGTTTGAAACTGACCCAGACAAGTCGTCTGTACACAGACCCCCCGTGGTTTTCATGCTGTTTTCCCATTACCTCCTCCTACGATCTTAAGCCACGCTTCATCAAATCTTTCCTGTAAGGTTATAGGAATGCAGCCTCCAGGAATTTCCAGCACATTTATACCACACCTAAAGGCATAGAAATGTCAACAGAAATAGATGGAATTTAAAATTTGCAGCACTATACAGTATGTACCTTTTGGTTTCAAAAGCACATACCTACCAAAATGGCACCTTCTCAAGGGAAGGTTTCAGCGATAGTTATGTTAATTGTCATTTTCCTTCACGCTATCCATAGCACAGATGTCGGATGAGAGTGCTTATGAAAGGCTGTGTAACCTTATATTTAACCCGTTTCTCAGTTTGAGGCTGATGTACGCTTTGATGCTAGAAAAAGAGAGACAGTAACCTATAATAATAATCTGTGCTCAGCATTTCTTCATCTGAGATTCAAGATCTTCAGTGCCTGTGGAGGTAGAGGGGAGGAAAAGCACTCTTTAAAAATTCTCAATATTAAACGAAAGAATAAACGAGACAATTCCAGTACTGTGCTGAGTTAAGGATTATGGGCAGTTAAAATGGTGAGACAGATGAGGTCTGCTAATTTGAAATATCTACCAATTAGACAAATCTTTGGTGCCTGAAGAAGCTGTAATTGGCATTGCCCTCTTCTCATGGTAATCCTGAATGTACAGCCTCACCCATCCAGTGGACAGTTCAGTTAATCCTTTCCTGCAATGTATTTACTGCAGTTCATTTCTACAGTATTGTGAAAGAGTTGGCCTAGTGTTAATTAGCCTTCCTACATGCAGATCATTTGGGTTATAATTGTACCATTATTCTGCAGTTGTAGCTTTCTGTTCTTCAGCATTAATGCAAGTCCTTAAATTAGAAAAAATGAAGCCCTGTGTGTATACAGTGAAAGGAATGATAGATTTATTGAGCATTTCTTGATTTTGGTGTTGTGATGAAGACAGGTTCTATATTCATCTCATGACCTATCAGGGGGTCTGAGGAAAAGAGTCTTTATTATCCCCAAGGGGCAATTTGTTTAAATATAAAGAAAACATACAAACTATACACGTAAACATGAATAAGAGAAGCATCTGTTGAGCAAGGTTGGCCATACATTCCCATCCTGTCCAAGAACAAGAACTTCTCCAGATGCCCATACTGTACATACTGTAGGGTTGGGAAGTCTCTGTTTAGTTTTGTCGTCTTCATACTGATCCTGAGTGTGGAGGATCATTTTCAATGATGAATGTGATGAGAAATATTTTGCCAAGGATCTTTGAAAGTTTATAATTTAGCATGTCTCAGTTGTAGTGCACTGTTTCTCCTGGACTCTGAAAGTAACACAGCCCTTAGCTGAGATGTGATAAGGCCTGGCCTTGTGGAGGGAACTGTCTAGAACATACAGTACAACTTAATGATTTTTTAAAACTTCTGTGTTTTCTGTTTTTTTTGGCAAAGGAAAATTAGATCTGTGTGAAATTTTGTTTTTGAATTGATTTGTTTTAAATCTGAAATGTAAGATTTTAGATCTTGAATCATCTGATAATCACCGTTACTTAGCTACAAAAAATAGAAAATAGAAAATAGAAAAATAGAAAATAGAAAAGTGAAGAAGATAGTGCAATCCCTTCATTTTCAAGCACCATCAAATTTGCCTAAACAGTGCACAGTATCAGACTCTTGGAATATTTCATCTGAAAAGCCAAATGCTGGGGGAGTGGACCATGAATGATACCTAAAACTTTGCTCTTCATTGCATATTTATGGCATTAAATGGTCAATTTATAAATAATTCAGGGACTCTATAATACTTGCTGGCTTTGTTATTAACCTTCTGTTTAGAAAGACATAAAGAGACATTTTTAAGCTATGTGTTTTCGACAGGGGGTCTTCCCTTCATTAATAAAATATGAAGATACAACATAAAAAGTACCTGCTGGATTTGGATTGAACAGAGCCCTGAGGTCGTATGATGTCTAGGTATTGCAGTATCCACAGGCAGGGCTGCAGTTGATCAAAGGACATTTTGTCGTTATTCTTTCCAGTTTGCAGTTTTTTCTTTACTGCCATAATTGTCCCGAAACAATTCTTATGACTAACAAAGACATGTGGACCTGTAAGTCTCAAGATAATGGGTTTAAAAGCCTGAATAGAACATTCTACAAAATGAAGTCTGAGAGGAAAAAAACATTTTAAAGGATTTTTTAAATATTTTAGGGAAACATTTTCTTTATGTACATAATGTGTACATAATTGTTTCTCGAAAGGCTCGTCATGTCAACAAACAGGCCAAAACTAATTAGATTTGCACAGAAATTAGTGACCTTGTACTTTAATGAGTCTCTGCATCTACTAGTAGCTCTTTTTTCATAGGATAATTGCCCTGCAGCTTCATTCACACGTTCCATCTGTCCACCAGTTTTATTGAGGCTTTTAGCCGGTGTCTTCTGGGAGCTCTTGAGACCATTGATACACAACAAGACCACTGGAATTTCCAACCTAATTTTTCCCCCTTTGTGTGATTAGTTTTAGATGCCAACAGTATCCACTTAATGACAGCAGACCTGAAGAAATGAGTGTAATGAATGGAGCCATATAAGTCACTTTAGGAATGTTGTACTAAACGCCTCATGTTGCATGTCGATAAAATGTTCATTAGCTGTTTTGAAGGGTCCTGTCCCTTGCTTTAGAGTTTTTGCTTATTTTACTGATTCTGTTGTTGATTTTAATAATTGGATTTAAATATATATATATATTTCACTTGGCTTCCTTTTGAATTTTGAATTTTCCACATGTGAAAGATGCGAAAAAGATCACAGTTTGTTCCTAAAATGTATCTTCTCCCCAGTCTTTGCAGGATTGTTGAAGATTTCTTTGTTGAAGCTCCTGTAGACCTTTGCCTCTTCACTATTGCCCTGACTATTTGTTGTTTGTCATGGCTATTACTTTTTTCACTTAGTTTGTATTCAGAACTGCTTCCAAAATGCTGAATATGAAAGCTGTGCAGTGATTTGAAGAGCTACATAATGTGCTTTCTTTGGCTGACTGAGTAAGTAAAGCTGGAATGTGTCAAATGTCATTCAGAATACTTTAAAAATAAGAAGGCATTAATATCCTAAATTTTCTTTGACATTTTAAATGCCTGGCATATTTAACTTAAAATCTAAAATAACTTTCCCTGTTTCTTTAAACCCAGTGGATTATAACACATTTTGTATGGTTTGAAGTTAATGACAATAACATCTTCACTTCAGACGTGGAAATAATCGGTTTTCCTAATCTCCCTTTTCCCTTAAAAAACAGTCTGAAACTTTCATATTTTCTGTCACAAATCTCAAAATCATAGAAATGTATAAGTGTCTTCTTTCCTTAAAAGGGACTCCCCCACAGGGGTATGATTGTATATTGCTAGAGAGGGTACTGATGTGTTTGCACAGAGGAGGGCTAATCTAATCAGATAGGAGTCTCAACTGAGTGGAGACCAGATGCCTGAACAACTGGAATAAACTGGATTTATAAGACCAGACTTTTCTAGGAAATTCTCCAAGTCATCAACACTGTCTTTAAAAAAATGAGGATGAAAGATAGCAGAAGCCTGGAGTGAGAAACTTGCAGCATCAAAGATCATCCTGACCCCTCTATCCCTGCTTGATTAACCAAAACCTGTCAGGTGTTGGGCGCTGAAGAAACTCATATTACATTTAGAAAAAGAAGGTATAATGAATTCTTAGAAAAACTATATTCTTAAATATTCCAAGCAGATTTTGTCACATTTTTAAATTATTTTTGGATAATTGTTTTGGATAGCCACCTTTGCTTGTTCCATTTTTAGGACTGTCCTACCTGTGCAAAGATTTACTGTATGTCTGTCTCTCTTTTCAACCAATTTAGTCTATCCTGTATCTGTCGTTTTACTTACAGTATATTTGCTCTATAATCTTTTTTAATTATAAACTCTTTGTGCTCTAGCATGCGCTAGAGATGTTAAAATTCTGACCAGAAAGGAATGGATATGAGTCCAGATTGCAGCTCTCCTCTTAGAGATTTGTAACATTAGCAAGTCCAAGCCTGGTCTCTCTGGGTCCATGCAGAACATGCCATTTAATGAACAATCATCTATCCTTTAACCTTTTTGAGCAAGGGTCACTGGTTGCACAGTGGAATACCTTGTTGGACAAAGTCCCAGAGCAAAGTAAATGTCAGCTTGAATGCCCTTCAAGTACTAGCTAAATGGCATTCTCAGCTGAAGAGTTTGCACATCCCTTGTAGAGAAAAATGAATGACATCATTAGAACTTTTGTTTTTAGTGCTTTTGTTATTCATTTTTAACTCATTTATGGAACCCTGCTCTTTATGTAAAGGGATAGCAAAATGTGAAAAGTAACCATATACAGGGCTACTGTAAATATCTTGTCCTTGGAACTAGACTGTGTCATCTTGGATGCAGTATAAAAACTGTTATCAACAAGATGAGCAATTTTC